TTTGCGGACGGACTCGCAAGGGTGCCGCACGACTTAGGCAAAACCAGCTAAGTTCGTGACATCACGGGACTGTATCGTGTGTATCGTATTGCCACGAATTGTTCCACCACGATTCGCTGCACCATGTCACCTCCTGGTGACATCTCTATTGCATTCTGATCTTTGTGAGATGAACTCGAATTGTGATCCTGCCATGTGTGGCCTCTGCCAATACATCACAGGTTCTCTTTCACCTTCGATTTTGTTCGCTCCTTTGGTAATTGACCTTCATTCACCCGCTCTTGGGTCACACCCAGATAAAGCACCGCTCTAGGACAGTTCGTCGCCTAGTAGCTCTCGAAGTCTATCAACTTCGCTGAAAGTGGTGCACCATTGTCTGGATCCTAGGCCTCTGCCCTTACCAGCACAATCTCCGCTACGTACCGCTTCCTTTATGACAACTTGGATGGCAATATTGTGGCATATTCTTCAAAAGTACCTGCCTCCGCGTCCTTTTGTCTCATGCCAAGGCCTTCTGAACCCAACTTCGCCTCCACAAGTTGAGTCGCCTTAGTTCCTCTATCAAATGCTTCTCCGAGATAAGGTGCATGTGCCCAGAAGCTCCCTTCGTCTTTGGCACCATGCAAGATGAGTCCGCTCCGTCAGAATGAAGGACCCATGAAACAACATGATCCTGCTCTTGCCTCTGCAAAAGTTCATGTCCTTGACCTCTGTCCAAGGAAAACACTGTGCCTCCGCTCTATGTTTCATCTTCTATGCTGGCTCCCTTCATGCAGCTTGAGTACTTCGCCAAGTTACACCCAAGTTGCGTCGCTCCTCATTTTTGCATTGAGTTGATGGTGGCCCTCGCACCCACCGTTCCATGGGTCAGCCCTCCCTTGAGTCTGATCTCCATATCGACTCCAAGTGTGCCTTCATTTGTGTTGTCTTAGGTCGCTCCCCACTTGATCTCGCAATGCATCTACCAATGCATTCTCTCAAGCGAGATCATGTGACGACTCCTTGCCGCTTGCTCGGTCCATTGAGCTTCATGGAGTTATTGTTTGTTGAGGTACTCCTCCTCAACATGTGCGGCCTGTTGCATATGATTCTCCCTTTGGAGAAACCGAGATCTATCCCTCTTGGATAACTGTCCTATTGGAGTAACATCTCTCTTCATTTCGGAGACCACCATCTCCTTGAACTACTCCGATTTACTAAATAAACTGTGCATTGTTCTGCTTCCTGTAAACGCACTTGCTAGATTGCGACTCCACGTCAATACAGCCCCCGCTGCACCACTCAAGGCCTAGCAACATGCTGAACTCGCTGCACACTTCAGCCTCCTACCGATGTATCCTTCACATACCGAAGAGAAAGTTTCAATGCTCCATGACGCCGAGTTTCGGTCGCCTTGGGATGGCCGCAAACATTCCATCGTCCGCATACAAGCCCATGCATAAGTACCGAATTCTTCGAGTTAGCAATTCCCCTCACCTCTGTGAGCTTTGCAAACTCTTTCGGTCGCTGAGCAACTCATTCTACCTTGCATTGTTTCATCCTTTACCAAGCACCTCGCTTGCCTTGAGCACCATTAAGTATAGTTATCAACGTTGAGCCGTAGCTCAAACTCAGCCAACCCAACCTTTGTGCGCTCCGCATTCTTCGAAGCTTGCTTGTTCTCGTGGTGCCTCTTGCGCGAAGGGTTGGCCATTCCTCTGAATGCCAATCTCAGATGCCCGCTCCTCTGAGCGACTCCTTTTCCCTACATCTCTATACCCGTTTTCCCTCAAATGGTCGTGCGTGTGTTGACTGCCCTCAACGCAGCCTCACTAGGTCCCCCACGTTTGCATGCCAAGTGTTTCTATGAGTGCTTATCCCGCTCTGATACTATCTGTCACGGACTTAGCTAGTTTTGCCTAAGTCGTGCGGCACCCTTGCGTGTCCGTCCGCAAAGGTCAGCCTCCCCGAAACATTCCATGGTCCCTTAGGACCCACAAAAGAGAAAACAGGTTAGAGAAAATGCCTCACTCGGGATCCACAAGCAAATATTCCAGGAAACACTTCATAGACAATGCAAATTACAAACAGACTTTACAAGCTCTGAACAGTTGCACAACAAAGGGTCAAAATGGTCCACTATAAATCAAAAATCTCTCACAAGTGTCCACATGACACAACCTTTATTTACAAGCCTAAAGCGGCCATCAACCTAACTAAAATTGGACTATTAAACCTTCGGCCATCCCTCTACATGCTGTGCAAAGCATGAACATACCAAAAGACACGGACATACATAAGCATTACATCAAACATCCTGTTTAGAAGTTTGTTCGTGACAGCTCGGTATGCCTGTACCGTATCGTACCGAGCCAACCTCGAAACACCGGTATGGTACGGTATTGCATACCTTACTTATCATTATATTTATTTATGGTATTAGAATATATAGGCACATACAGATAAATAATAATAGGTAACTGACACCTTTGACCTATTCTTCATGAAAGTTCTTTGAGAATATGGACAAGATAATAATCAATTTTAAAATAAATGGGATAATATCATTATTTTACTTTTGCATATTAAATGTTTAATGCAAGTGGCCTGAAACGATGTATCTAATCATATGTCCAGTAGTATAAAGATGATAAACATTTATGTAAACAAAGTTTTCCCAAGAAGTATACATGAGGTATCCTACAAGCATCATGAGACAGTCCAATCATGGCTGTAATTATTTAAAGATATTGGATTTAAGATGAAGTCACAAATGTCCAAGAAGTACCGTATGTCCACTATATATCTGATATGGACATGCAAGCAGTTCAAAGAAAAATTGTAGCAAGTCATGTGTAGCTTGTCGTCTTTTATGCAACTTGATTAAGCTTCTTGATCTATAGAAAGCAATTCAAGAAAATATTGTAGAATGTTTTTAACAATTAACATCTTTGCACAAAAGTTAAAACTACTTTGTTTATAATTAAGAACCTTCAAGAAATAACTTTGGTAGTGCCACCCAGCAGTCTATAATTCATAGTTTAAAAAGTGAGATTTTAAAACTCATAGTTCGAGTCGTGAGAGTACTTTGTTAATAAGAACCTTCGAGAAATAACTTTGACAGTGCCATCCAACACTCTAGAATTCATAGTATGAGAAGTGAGAATTTAGAACTCATAGTATGAGAATTGAGAGCAATTCCTTCTAATACAACTGGATTCTATCACAGTATATCCATTTTGTAAAGCAAATAGTACGAGAAGTGAGAGTACTTTGTTAGTAAATAAGAACCTTTGAGAAATAATTTTGATAGTGCCATCCAACACTCTAGAATTCATAGTATGAGAAGTGAGAATTTAGAACTCATAGTACGAGAACTGAGAGCAATTCCTTCTAATACAACTGAATCCCATCACAGTATATCCATTTTGTAAAGCGTATAGTTATTGACTTCATCCCACATATGAATCTGTAAACCTGAGCTTAGAAGAACAAACAGACATTTTTATCTAGTGAATGGGTTGTTACATAGAGTAAATTCAGCTATTACCTGATAGGCCTTTAATAAATTCTTGGACTTTATGGGATCTAATTGCAACTGTAAAAGCAATGACTTATAAGGCGCAAAATAAGTATGAAATCCAAGATAATTGAGAGAAACTTTTTGACAATAGCTGTCTTCTAAGTATGTATTAGAAAAAATATATTCCTAACAATCAAAGTTTACTGTACCAATGCGTACCACCCGGTACGAGCGGTATGTACTGGTCCAACAGGATACTGGTATGCAGACTGCCCTCTATCGAGCAGCACCAATCACTTGACCCCGTATTGGGCGATACGGGATTTGTATCGGGCGATAACGATCAAAATCGAACTATTATCAACCTCTATCGGTTGGTAATGATCGGATTTCGATTGTTATCGATCAAGAGCTGAGATTGCCCTATTTTAAACAGTCAATTTGACCATTTGAGGCTTAGAAAAGAGTTTTTAAACCCTTTCCTCCCCCCTCTTTCAATTCATTTCACTCTCTCAATCTTTTAAACTCTCTCAAACTCTTTTTTACTCACATCTCGCTCCTATTCTCATATTTTCATTCTCCTAAACTCAACAAAGCTATGATTTATGGATTAGATCAAATTTAGGAGGCTAATTTGAGAGGATTAAGAGGAAGAGCACTCTGATCAAGAGGTACATATTCTCTTTCTAGATTTTTATTGATTTATGATATGATTAAGCCTATTATATGTGGTGTATGACTTAATGTCTAATATGCTGTTTGATATATTTTGGATGGTAGAATAGTATTAATTATGGAGTAATTAAGATTTTTAATGCTGTAATTAGTGCGTTTAATATTGATTTTTTTGAAAATAGGCACCTAATAGGTCAAATCTTTATATTTTATGCATATTAAAAATTGGATCATATGTTTATGATGGTATAATAGGTTTAAGTAGATTTTAATTAAGGTTTTTATTATTATTAGTAGTAGTTTTAATGATGATTTAATCAAAATTTGATTGATATTAGGTCAATTTATATTATTTTTACTAAAATTATACTAAGTTTATATTTATTTCTGACTTAAAAACCCTAATTTAACTTTCTTTTATTTTTAGATTTTTTATGATTTTGGGCATACTGTTGGTATGCCTCGGTGTGTATCCCGCCTGCTCGGTGCACTAGTACGAACCGAAATTATAATTCTTACTAACATCAATCAGTAGTCATGAGTTTAGGAGTTGCATTTGGCACCAAAAACTGCTATGCTACATATTTCAGAAATCATGCCAACTTTTTTTTGTTTTCCTTAATTGTAGAAAGAAAGTAGATCAAAATTGCATGTCATCATATGGTCAAATTTATCATTCGTTTTCTAATTTTTTTGCTTTGCAATATAAATGATTTTTGTTTGGTCAGTTTTTGATACTTTGGCTAATTTAGTATATTTTTTGGTTATGCTGTTGATGAATTTTATGCTAATTCATTGTCTCAATATGCATACTCATTGCCAGATTGGAAATTATGAAGCAATAAATTGTTATTATGCCCATGGGGAACCAAATTCTTGTTTTCAAAGGAGGAGCTATTGGATGCTAGATCCGTGAGTTATTCTACTTCTAATTACTTCTGGATAGTTGGAATTATTAATTATCATAATTTCAATTGAACCATGTATTATAGCTTGCTTTTGCTCATAATTGTCTTAGTATTGTAATTTCTTTTGGAATAAATAGAATCTGCTATATCTATTTTGCTGTCAGCAATTTTTAGCAACCTTAAACCATAAGTTTATATGATACTTTGTGCATGAGATTAATTTTGGAACTTCGGTTTACATGTAGTTATGAAATGAAGTCTGTTGAAGGGGGTAGTGGTTGATGATGCAAGAAGGGTTCATGTGAGAGAGAGACAAGTGCATGCCCTCTCGATCCACATTGCTAGTTCATGCCTGTACCAAAAGATACTGGTTGATATGAATCGATCCTAGTGAAATTGCATTAATTGATTAGGACTATAGGGAATCTGTTTAACAAGTTTCATACATCTCCAAAATTATATTAAAAATAAACATAAATTATCATTGTAAATTGGTAATGGATAAACTAATGCATACTGAATAAATAATCATGGTTTATTTATTGGCTTATGATATTCTTTTGATTGATGATAGTTTAGTTGAGATTAAATTTTAAACTTGAATTATGAAGACATACCTTAGAAATAAAGATTATAAATTAAGTAGGAATATGATCAAATATTTGAAATGTAGTTTTAGGAATAAAAAGTCTTTGTAACTAAGAGTTTCAGGCAAGGTTTGCCTTACCAGTCTGAATTGATGTACCGGTCAATCAGCTGTATGGTATGTACCGCCTCATACCGGTGTACCTCGTCGTGCTAACGATATAAGAAATTGATAAAAAATAGCTCCAAATAGTCCTTAAAAAAAAAAATAGATTAAGATTTTTAAGTTAGAAATAAATATAAATTTAGTATAAATATAGCAAAAAATCTAAATTAAGAAAAAAAGTAACATATATATTTGATTAGAGAACATTTAATAGGCTTATTTAATTTAAAAATCATCAAAAATTGAGAAAAAAGATACATACCTTTAATTAGGGAGTTCTTCCTCTAACTTAGGTGTTAATCCTCCTTAATTAGCCTATGAAGTTTGATCCAATCCACAAATTGTAGCCTTGTGGAGTTTAAGAGAGTACAAATGAGAGAATGAGAGAAATATATGAGTGAAAAAGTGATTGAGTAGATGAGTTAGAGAGAGTGAAAGGGGAGAGAATGAAGGGGTAAAAAGGGTTTAAAAACCCTTTGCAATGGTTCAAATGGTTAAATGGACTATTTGAATGAAATCAATCCTGGCCCTTGATCAGTATCGATCAAAATCCAACTGTTATCGATCGATACAGGTCGGTAACGATCGGATTTTGACCATTCTGACTTGTACAGATCTAGTATCGGACGATAAGGGGTTATATAACATAGATCACTCGGTATAGGGTAGTCCATGTATCGGTCCCTTGTCGGATCAATACATACTATCCATACCCGGTGGTATGCCACGGCACGATAGACCTTGTTAAGGTATCTTAGATCAGTTATTCAATAGGATTGAGAGATTCGTAAGCACATTATTTATAGAACAAAATCTAAGTGATAAATTTGGAAATGGATGCTAGGGTTTTTGTGTGATGACTGTGTTTCCATTTAAAATTATTTTTTTAAAAATAATTATAAGGCTGCATATGTGGGGTTACTATAAATAATAGGATAAGAAATGTTTCAATTTAAAAGAAATTATTTGTTGCCGTAATAAAGGATAAAAAGAAAGAAAATGATCTGAAATGTATATATTGATTCAAAGAAGACCTATAAATACTGTGACTAAATGATATGAAGCAATTTGAATTAGTGGTGTAAGGATAGAGGAGACCTAAGAAGACTTTACTAGAACCAGTAATGGAGATATGAATGCTCTTGGTTTTATTACAGATCTCAGATTACATAGAGCTTAATAGTGGAGAAAAATCCATGTAGGCAACCCAAACTAGTTGAGACATTATGGCTTGGTATTGTCATTGTATAAACTATAAAGATATTATTACCAAAGTCCTTAATTTTGGATACTGGACCAGTGTCAATCCTAACCTGGCCTAATACGGCTCCAAGCTGTACCAACATACTATGTGTCAGTACATACCAAAATATCAAGCTTTAAAAAGAGCCTGAAAATTAAAAAAATTATTGTATGGCCAGATTCATAATTTTGTGCACCGATATGTTCCTATGAGGGCTTCGACTGGTATTGAACCAGTCTGTATCGGTCTACTGGGTGTCAGTACGCTGATACATACTGAGTCTGAAAAAAGACTGAAAAAACTGAAACTATAGAAAAAAAAAACTGCCAATACAGGTCATCTACCATCCTGAACTGGGTGTAACAACAGTGCAGGCCCTGTACCAGATGGTATAGGCCTCACATACCAGTATGCTGCTGGACTGATTAATACCACCAGTGTCGAATTGTACTTAGGGGTAGGGGTATTGCAAACTTTGTTGCTGGTACAAACCTATACCGGGCTGTATGCCTTATACCAGGCTTGAATTGTCCAATTTATCCATAAGATATTGGATCGGTTATACCATCTATACCAAATCATAACAGGTGGTATTGCAATCCTTAATTATTAATAAATTTACCAACTTGAAGATAAGCCACACTTCATTGTAGGTGATAGCATCTCTATTTTTCTAAGAGATAAAAGACTACTCTATATCCTTTCCTTCTTTCTTTCAATACCCTTTTATCTCTATAGTATATGATGAATGATACATATTGTAACATTTATGGTAGATGGTAAGTGTGGTGGATGCAACAATAAACAAATGGTAGTAGTGTCTTTATTGTTTCATAGTCATAATCATTTATTTTTTGATCTTCTCTATACCTCAGCTTTTATCTTCTTTGCCTCCTACTTCTCTCTTCTATGCTTTTCTTTAGACGTTGTGGAGTTGGCTAAAATTGACCCGTATTGGTCAACTTTGATTGGGTTCAATTGATTCTAGTTGTTTCCTGTTGATTTTTAACTATATGGTAAAAAAATCGATTAAAATCAGATTGTTCTTGAATGATATTGATATGGATCGGTTGTCTCATATCAGAATCAACAGATACTAGAAATAATGCTTTTGAAATTCATTTTAGAATCTTTAATTGTTTAAGCTGAGATTCTTCCCTCCCCAGTTTTAGCAATCTTGACCCTTGAGAAGTCCTACTATGACACTAAAACTTGCCCTTACAATACATGCGAAAGGTATACATGGTAAAAATTTATGTTTTAAATTATTAAAATAACATAATAGCACAAATAATAGAACTGAGGATGTCCCTGCTTATGCAGACTGTATATTTGGCTACTTATATGTGATTGCATATACATGTCTATGTGAATCATTCAAGTGGCTGTTGACCACATAAGGCACCATATAGGCTATATATGCAATCAAATTGTATTTTTGCATCTGTATAGATCCTATGTAATGCTGCCATATGATTGTGTACACATATGCGGCTACATAGACTTCATTTTAGAAAATTAATCTCATTTACCTTGATACAAAAAAAAAAATGCAGGGTTACCTGGATGCTCAAATTGTGTGTTCCATGTTGGAAATATATGCATTATATCCATGTTCTAGACATTTATTAATCATTGAGTTGAACTTTAATTGTCAAGTGGAAGAGCTGAGAAAAGAGGATTTTTTGGTTTTTAAGTATCCTTTAGCCTCATCTTCATAAATTTCACATTTTCAAGACATTAAAACACAAGCATCATATGTAATCTATGCAATGCAAGTTATCTTTCCTCTGCTTGTGCCTACATCTCCTTTCCATCTTGCTGCTGCATTCGACACCTGCATATATGTCTGAGTTGTCACTGATTTACTTTCCCATATAAAACTCAGAAAATGTAGCATTGAAAGAGATATTAACTTATTCTTGTGCTAATCTCTGGATTCTGGATTGTAGCTGTTGGCCTCTATGTAGACATCTTAGGCTTGAGAGAAACAGATGCATCTTGAAATCTTTCTGACTGCTGGTAGTTGCTGGCTAAGCTCCATAGATGTATTGTTAATTGTGGGTGATCACATGTATTGTATATTCTTCTTCAGGATTCTCCACTTTAAGTGCCCTGTGGGACTTTTAAATGTAAGGTCGATATTGGGACTTGTTATTCTGCCAAGTCTCTATCTATTTCCCGCTCTTCTTTCTCTTATGGAAGGATCTATTGTGGTTTGGGGCACATGGAGTTCATCTGACTTGTGCTGTATGCAATTCTGGGTATATTCACCAACCTTTTCAGGAAGGATTGTAGCATTTTAATTTATACTGATATCAGTAAGTTCATTATAGCCAAATACTAAAAGGTATCTTCATCGAAGTTGGAAATATCATTTTTGGTCATAGTAAACTAGATTATATTGTTAATGAAATTTCTAGTTAGTAATATGAATGAGTGTTATGGTTGATTATTTCATACATAACTAAGCTTGAGCTACGGCTGATAAGACTGACAGCCTGACAACTGTAATGAATTCCATTCTCAATGTTATGCCAGACCACTTTATATTGAAGTTTCAGTTTTAGGAATCTAGTTTCCAATATATTGCTGTAGTCACAGATTTGTACATGCCTACTTATTGTGTTTACTTATTTGCAGGGCCTTTGACCACATTGTTCTCGTACACTATAGAGATGTTATCAAGGTTTGTTTTTTTTTCAAATTCTGGACATGCTTCTTTTTTCAGCTCAGTCATGTTTATGGAAGGGGAAGACATTTAAGTTGTTGAAGAAGAAAAAAGACCCCAATATGAAGAAAGGATATCATAGTAATCACCTTAGAAAGGAAAAAGCCAAGACAAAAGAAAGCAACATAATATGGGAGCATTTAGCTAGGACACAAGCATCTTTTAAAAGAATTTGTTTTCATACTCTTTACCAAGGATTGAAAATTGGTTGGACCAATCCATATTGACTTGTATTCACCTGTCTGATTAGAAATTGGGATGCAGACTGAGTGATTTTACCTGGTCCAGTCCAAAACAGATGTTAATGACTTAATGCACAGTTACCCTGCTAAACCTAGCTTACCTCCCAGTGTTAGTGAATAAAACCAAGACCAGTGGGCGCTTAACCTATAGCCCGGTGTTCATACCCCTTTTTTAAAATTATTTTTATATATTTTTTATGACAGTTAACTTTTTTCTAGTTTTCACTCTTTCCTCCAGTCCCTCTCTTTGGTCTCTCTTCTCTGTTCCCTCCTTTCTTTTTCTCATCACTCTGTTATTTCACTGTCATGGCTCTACTGCTTCTTCTTTGGTGTACCTCCTCTTTTTCCACCGCCTTCTATCCTTCCTTCACTCTTCCTCCTTTCTCCGTTTCCTCCTCCTTCTTTTTCTACCACTCCTCTTGTGTTGCCACTTCCTCTCTGCCTTGCCTTCTCTTCCTCCATTCTTCCTCCACTGTCCTCCTTTCTGCCTTGTCTGCTATCTCCTTCCCTTCCTCCACCTTTTTCTTCTCCCTCCTCCTCCTTCCTTCTTCTCTCCCTCTTTATATTTGGTCTGTGCTGTCTGGTGTGCCTGCATATTGATAATATACCATATATTAGTCTGCCAGTGTGTACCGGACCCATATTGGTCCGCAGTGATCAGTAGAGATCTTGGACTGAAACTTAAAACCTTGCTATTTATATGCCTTTTCATGAATTCTAAATTGGTACTTGGTTCTCTTCAACTTCAAATTATTCTACTTTGTTTGTTAAGTGCCACTTAGTATCTGGAGATGATCTATTTTATGACCTTCTGGGATTTATCTATCAAGTATTTTATCACAATCAAATTATGCTTTAAAACTGGTTTGAGATCCTTTTTTCTTTTCTTTTTCCTTGAAAGTGGAGGGAAGGAGGAAGGGGTGTCGTTGGAAGTGGTTTTCAGTTTTTACTATCTAGTGACTTTGTAGCCTAGTGGAAGACATATATAAAATTATCCTGCAGAGGAAAAATGTTATGTACTTGGATTTTAACAAATGAGATTGCATAATATGAATAAGTTGAAAGCCTTCCAGATGTAACCCTCAAAATGATTTTTGAAGTATCAGATGAAGAACCAGATATAGTCCTCAAAATGATTCTTGAAACATGTATATATATATATATATATATGTATATACATGTATATATATATATATATATATACATGTATATATATATATACGTATATATATGCATGTATACATATATATGCATACATGTATATATACATGTATTTATATGTATATATATTCAAGTTTTGCTCTAACTAGTAAATTAGTTTATGCAAATCTTAAATATGGAACTAGAAAAAAAAAATTATGACATCACTTATAAATATAGAATGATTAGTGAAATATCAAATTATGAGTGACTGTTTGTGAAAAATATTACAGCTCTTATTTATATCTAAACTGAAAGTTTAGTTCAGCAAAAGTTTTATTTTGTGAGTCATCAGTGTTCTGCTTATGCTTTCTGAGTTCTTTGTGCCACTAGTATACTGCTGAGAAACAAGGTTTAAGTTACCATGGCTGGTGATATGATTATTGTTCTTTGTTCTGCAACCCAGGGAAGACACATTCCTAAATCTATTGTCAGCAGCTCAATTGATTCTTGTCCAACTCTGAGATATAGCACGAGTGTCAGTAATGATCAAGCACAGGGAATTCATTCTTGTACCATTGAATTTAATGATCCTTGTCAGAACTCATGTAGTCCAGGATCAGTGGAAGAAATTATTTCTCAGGTCACTGGAGGAAACATTAAGATGTCCCACTTAAACACAATGGACAGATCAGAATCTACTAACCAATTATTGCAATCAGAATTAAGTCAAGCACTGAGAAAGCTTGAAGAGCAGTTAAGCTTAGATAAGGACAAGGATAGCTTTGCTTCTTCTGAAGAAGAACTGCCCCCATTCTGCAACCTGAATGTGGAAACACATAATACACAAGATGAAACAAGGAGCCCGAAAGAGGAGGCACTTCAGAATCCACTTGATAAATTCCAACAAATGTCAAACGGTCACAATGAAGATAGTCTGCAATATGACAGTAAGTTGAAGAGTTCATGCATGTTTTGTTGTTTGATCAAGTTGGATAGATTTGGAATCATGTATCTGTTAAGCTTTGTTTATTGCTTGTGGTTCTTGATGAGCTGAATCAATGAAAGTAATATTATATGCAGAACAGTTTATCAAGCATTACTGAGCCATGTTTTTGTTTCTTTTTTAGTTGTATTTAAACGTTTTGGTTGTCGTGAACCATCTATTTAACCTTTTATGATTTTAACTTCTGAATTTTGAATATATCAACAAGTTAATAGCTTATTGATTAACAGCCTTTTTCATTCAAAAGAGACTCTACATCTGAACTTTTTCTTCTCTTTTACTTTGCATTACTATATCTTTTACATAAAAAAGCTAAACTTTGTTCTACCTTACTCTGAATACATTTTGTGACCATGAATTGATTTGCTATGATAAAGTTTTGGAAGAAGAACAGAACTAGTGATATCAAATAGATACACAACAGAAAATGATAATTTGAACTAACACCACTTTAGCTATCTTTGATTACAATGAAGTCCCCAGTCATGAAAATTTTCTTTGTTGACATATCAGCTAGCCTATTTTTTTTAGCACATTATAATCTTATTAATTTTAGACCTTGAAGAAGGTTAGCTCCATATGATTAATAATTCATCTTGTTTATGATGGAACTGAAGATGGTTTGGAAAGGCTTCATGGATCCCTTTTTCCACAATCTTATGCCACTGAAGCAGACAATTATGGAGCCAATTATAGTCTGCTGATACAAGGAACTGGCGAAACTGCTCCTTCAGCTGAAATAAGTGAGTTTTCTTCTTTGTTTACAGATATGTGGTTTGACCAAAGTCAGTTTGGAGCTCCTCGTCGAACAGAATCAGGTTTGACATTAGCAGAAAGGCATCTGTTTACCATACGCGAAGTCGTTCCTGAGTGGGCGTTTTCTTCTGAACCAACAAAGGTATTTGCTGATATCCACTGTATTCTGTCGACACTGATTCTGGGTTAGCTTTCTGAAATGTATTCCTTGAGAGTATGTACTATTTTGCCCTCTTGATGGTGGCTAAGAGTAGGAAGTAATATGCACTAGAATTAGTACATGTTTTAAAATCACAATTATGGTTTTAACTTTTGTGTATGTTCAATGGTTGGTTTTCAGGTTATCCTTCTTGTCTTTTAATATCATGGAGTACTAGCAACATGAATAGATAGATTGATTCTAGAGTAACTAAGTAATGGTAGAGAATGTAGATGACTGCTTTATGATATTTCAAACGTGAACAGAATGTATGACAGGAATATGCCCACTTGCTTTGATATTTCTAACTGCCAATGAGCATGGACGAAGGTCATGAGACGTCACAATACAAACACATATAGCAAATGTTTGTAAAGTAGGACACTACACATCATAGATACACTATCCAAGTACATATTTTCCATATATTTACTGTAGTTGTGTGTTGTAAGTGTATGTTATGTGCGAGTTTGATAATCTGTTATCACCATATGCACAACATATAGAAACCATTTACATAGATACTAAAATATTAGATAGATATCCACATTATTTAAAGTCAAAATTCCAGTGTACAAAATATTGTCTTATTTAGCATGATTAGAAGCCTTAGATGATGTATCATTGGTTACATGTGAAAATTTCAACATGGAATGAGAATTATCTGGTAAGTGTTAGTATCAGAGATGTACACGACACCGAGACCAAAAGCAAATTTGAAAGATTTCCTGCTTCAATTAACTGCCTTTATTATAGGTATTATGACATGCTATTTAGTTCCAGAAGTTGCATGTTGTATTGATTAGTTACCACAATCTGTTGAAACCTAAAGTTTTGTGAATCCTCTAATATGTTTTGCTCCAGAAAAGCAAGGATGTCCACTTATACTTCCAAAAGTAACTTGACTAATTTCTATGGTTAATTTCTATATCCAGCTGAAGTACTTGACTAATTTTTTATTTTTTCCTTTTTAGCATTAGTATCCATCTAGAAAATCAAATACAAGATTGTCAATAATCCAATCATATGGTCTGTCTGCATGGCTCTTTTAATAGGTCTGACATGATAAAATTATGAAAGCAGGAAGCTGAACTTACTGAGTGTTTAAGCTTATAAAATAATATTTCAAATTATTATTAAATTTTATTAATGTAATTAAAATATTGAAAAAACTTGGTTTAGGATAAATAACACTTGGTTACAGATTCTGATTAAAGGCTTCAGATTTTCAGGGGAAACCATAGATAGTATAACAATCCTAGAAATTTAATAAGCTTATATTTGGCTTCATATTCTTTTCGAAATATGAAAATAGATTATTTTCTATGATGCTTCCTTTTTGTGACATCATCTCCAATGATTTAGTTGCACGATATCAAATTACTCATTTCTACTTTTTTAAATGTTTGAATTTTTAATTTTTTGGAATCATCTCTTAACCTCTTTTTTCTATATCCCAAACTAATTTATTACACCTTTTTTCTAAAATTTCATTGCTTTCTTTCTGCCCATGCTCACTATCAACTATCGTTGTGCTTTATATGCCACTCACAGCCGGCCTCATCGATGATATATCTCCTCTTCCTCTTCTTCCTTCTTCTTCCTCCTTCCTTATTCCTCTCTCCCTCCCCTAGCCAAATGGTATTATAGACTGTTCTGACATACCATGTCTTGGTACTTAGGAATGAATTGGACTGGTATGGATCCAATGTCGGAAACTGAAAACCTTTGTACCAGCTACATGCTTTGATACCAGTTGGTATTATTTCTTTGTTATTTTTGTTGCTGGTACTGAGTGATATAAAAGGTTTGGTTTATCACCTGGTACATCGACATCATATCAGTCCAGCAAATTTACTGAAATTGGTATTCCATTGAGATTTAGAACCTTGGTTTCTATTGCAAATTAGAGTGTGATGTTCAACTTCCAATTGTTTCTTCAATTCAGTGTACCCTATTTTTTGAGTATAACAAAACCAGCATTTACATAATATTCCATTTGAAATAGCTAGAAATGCAGTTGTTTTTTAAAGGAAAATATATGTTCTTTGCATCGTTAGTAAAATTGGTGACCTTAACTACAAGAGGGAGTAGTTTTTAAGTATTAAGCAAGGTCTTACCTACTGGTTGGACCTATATGTATTGACTTGTATCTAGTGGTCCAACCAAATACTGGTATTGAAATGTTTAGCTTGATACTGGTACATATACTATTTATTTTATTATTTTATTCAATGATATCAGGTGTTTACCATGACTGTACCAGTCAATAGGTCAATAGCTTGATACCGGTGCATATCCTGTCGTCGAGTTCATTTTAACATGGAACTGTCACTCTGCAGGTTATCATCACAGGAGACTTTCATTGCAGTCCTTTTGAGCATACATGGACTGTATTATTTGGAGATATTGAAGTTCCTTTGGAAATTGTTCAGGATGGTGTTTTCCGTTGCTTAACTCCCCAGCAAAGTGCCAGAAAAGTCAAACTGTGCATTACATCTGGCAACAGCCAACCCTGCAGTGAACCACATGAGTTTGAATTTCGTGAGAAGCCAGAAAAAGCAAGCTGCAGTAGTACATCAGTTGGAGCTGTTGCAACAAAAATCTCAGCGGAACTCTTATCTCTGGTCAAATTTATGCAGATACTTTTTTCTAGTGCATCAAACCCTCAAGAAGATCTTGAACTGGAAGTTGATCCTTTGAGGAAGTTGGAAGGATCCAAAAATCAGTTAGAACCAATCATCGAAGCTCTCCTATCAGGCTCTATGGCTCCAGAAAAGATAATGAATGCAATCCTTCAAGAACTATTAAAAGATAAGTTGCATCAGTGGTTATCATTTAAGCATCAAGGGGCTACCGAAAAAGATCATCTGCTGTCCAAACAAGAACAATGCATCATACACATGATCTCGGCCTTGGGTTATCAGTGGGCCTTACTTCCAATTCTCAAATCTGGTGTATGCATAAACTACCGTGATTCAAATGGATGGACTGCACTTCACTGGGCGGCAAGTTCTGGAAGGTATCTGAAATCAGTGCATCCATTTGCTTGCACTGACCTAGAATCCTAGAGTGTGGCTGAAATGAAATTATTTGAAGAATTAAAAGAACATATCTATCTAATTTTGAGCTTGATTCCTGATAACTTACACATGTTTAAATAGCTTTTGGGAAACCGACTTTGCAGGGAAGAAATGGTTGCTGCACTTCTTGCTGCTGGTGCTTCAGCCGGAGTTGTCACAAATCCAAGTGCACATGATCCAGCAGGCAAAACGCCAGCTTCTTTAGCTGCTGCCAGTGGTCACAAAGGTCTTGCTGGATATCTTTCAGAAGCTGCACTAACCAGTCATCTTTTTTCTCTGACAACTGAGAGAAATGAGAGATTCGAGGAGTCTGCTTATGTGGAGGTCCAGAGAGGTGTGAACAGTATATCTGAGAGGAGTGCCCATGCCCACTCAGATGGTGGGACAGAGGATCAACTTTCACTTAAAGATTCATTAGCAGCTGTCAGAAATGCAGTTCAAGCTGCAGCCCGTATACAAGCTGCTTTCCGAGCATATTCTTTCAGGAGGAAGCAACAAGAAGCTGCCATATGTATGTCTCCAGCAGGCGTACATGAACTTTCTGTTGCATCAAGGTCACATAAAGCATTTTATGGTTTTAGTGATAAAAAATATGAGCAAGCAGCTTTGTCGATTCAAAGGAACTATCAGCGTTGGAAAAGACGAAAGGAGTTTCTACAGAAACGTAGATGTATTGTGAAGATACAGGTACTTGAAATTTGCATTCTCTTTTGATCTTCTGCATACATTCGGGACATGAGTTGCACGTTACATTCGGCATTACCGTTTGCATAGAATAAGCAACTTCGATATCATTATGCTTATGATACTATTCATAGAATGTCTATGAAATATAGAAATATACCAACAGGTAAATGTAGTTATGAACAAATTCATCTTTCATAATGGTGGCATAAAAATAATTCTTAATACTTTAAATTGTTAGAGTGTGGTTTCCTCTTTGAGAGAGAAATTTCCTAGATGTCGACACTTAAAGCACAAGTCTCTCAGACATTTAATAAATTTAACTTCACGAAAGTCCGATATATTTCTGGAAGTTAGGTTTCATAATGTATTCTAGTTATTTATGAACTGCACACACTTTGGCCAGAATCTATTTGTACATCACAATCTTGCTTCCAAAGAGCACTTTCAATGAATTCTATAAAATCCTTTTACATGAATATAAAATTGCATTTGAATGTTTCTAGTAACAACCCGTAACGTGTTGCATTACTTGGAACAAGTGTTAGTTTTGACACTAATTTTATTTGAGTAGACATTGATAGACAGTACTCTGCCTTTGCCATATGGTCATGACTTTTTTTTCTTTCTTCTTTCAATTGTTGTTATGACAGGCTCATGTAAGAGGTCGTCTAGCAAGGGAAAATTACAAGGAGCTCCTTTGGAGCGTTGGTGTCCTAGAAAAGGCCCTGCTGCGATGGCATAGAAGAGGAGTTGGCTTACGGGGGTTTCAAGCTGAGCCAGAATATATCGACGAGGAAGAAGATGACATAGTCAAGGTTTTACGTAGGCAAAACTTGGATACAGCTATTAATGAAGCTGTCTTCAAGGTCACATCCGTGGTAGGGAGCCCTCGAGCACGGCAGCAGTACCGACGGATGCTTGAAAGCTACCAACAGGTTAAGGTAAAAAAAAAAAACTTAGAATTCATATGACACCGTGTGAAGATTGTGACGGTACAGCTTTACAGCTTACTCCCGAGTTTGCAGAAATGATGGAAATGGTGCATCTTTTATCATTCAACACGAAACTTTAATTGGCTGCTGCTTCTGGAATGTCATTTATTTAGAAGTCTATCATGTCTTGTTAGATTTGTTAAAAATCATGTGATTAGCTGGAGTTATGATTAAGCACTAGTTTATGTAACTGAAGTTTTAGATGCCCCTTGTAATGTTAAGTTGAAGGTTCTGAAATTTTCTTGCCTGTTCTCTCTTGAAATTCCCCTTTCAGGACTCGATCATCTTGTCTTCACCCAAAGGTCCTGATTCAGCTTCCACAAAATCTTGAATAAGGGGCAGCTGAAGCACAATGGTCTGGCAATCAGCAACCTTCTGGTCCGGTTCAGAATGTCTTTCCTCGACAAGTTTCTTAGGTACATCTTGAATGTGACCTTTAGCAGTGAAGTTACAGATTCATTGATGCTATCTTCTACATGTTGAAATCTAAATGATCTTATAGACAGGAAGATTCTTTGAAGTAAAATATTGGAGTTCGTGATTCTTACATCCTATGTTCTTGCCATCTTTAAACTCGTGTCTATATGAGCAGACATCTCATCCCAAAAGATACTGATAGAACCCTAAGGTTTTATCGTAAAAGAAATGGAAGAAAAGAGGATGATCACTTCCATTTACTATAAAACCTTTCTTTTACTTCCATTTCTTTTACTATAAAACCTTAGGGTTCTATCATTTGGTATCAGAGCATTTTACGATAAGACTTTAGGGTCTTATCATTTAGTATTAGAGCTCTTTTTTCTTTTACGATAAAACCTTAGGGTTCTATCATTTGGTATTAGAGCGGCGATCCTTGGCGTTCTCGTTACAACAAGCAATCAATCAATGAACCAATCAATGAAGAAAATATTATTCTAGTCTGTGGACCAAACCCTAGGAGGTCGATCCCCTCGAAGTGATCATCCCTTTTTTTTTTCATTTCTTTCATTTTTTTACGATAAAACCTTAGGATTCTATCATTTGGTATCAGAGTATTTTACGATAAGACTTTAGGATCTTATCATTTGATATCGGAGCACTTCTTTCTTTTACGATAAAACCTTAATTCTATCATTAGGTTCTATCAAATATTTCTTCTTCGAGAATATTTGTGATGCTGTAGTTAGTATAGTTGACAGTAATTAATTGTTTTGCAGTTTCTGCTGTGGCCATAATTTGTCTTTCCTTTCTCTTTCTCTGCAGGCCAAGCTGGATAATTGTACATAATAAAACAACCGAAGAATAATCATGATGTGTGGAACTATCACAGCAAACTTGAGTTTAATCGTGCACACGATAAAGAAGATCGGCAAAAGCTAAAGGATGGATCATTCCGAAAGGTTGGTTAGAAGATGAGTTCTAGATCAGTGTATATGTTTAAATATAATCTTTCGCCATTACCAACTAAAACGGGTGCTTTATCTGTTTGTCTAACTGTAATCTAGCGGTCGTACATAGTTCTTTGTAGAGGTTGCTCTCTTTGTATCTGCTTGCTACGAGATTTGTGGCATTACCTTCATGTATTATTCTGTTCTTGGTCCAAAGTTTACTTTTCTCTCACTTTGTTAATGTCACGACCCGGGCTTTATGGGTTAACTGGTCTATCAACTTCATTTGATCTAAATCACTGGCTAAAAATACTTAAACTGAAGTTGATAAGTCAATTTGAGGGTGTTACAATCTCCCCCACTTAAAGATTTATCGTCCTCGTCAAGGTTTAGCATGAGTCCTCTGACTCCATCCATGAATAGTCTTTTTCTATTCGAGCTTTCTCATCATGCTCAAATACTATATCGGTTCTGATACCAAATGTCATGACCCGGGTCTGATGGATTAATTGATCTATCAACTTCGTTTGGTTTAAACCACTGACCAAAAATATTTAACCTAAAGTTGATAAACTATCCTATTTAATATATATATATATATATATATATATATATATATATATATATATATATATATATATATATATATATATATATATATATATATAT